CTCTCGGTTCATACAAAACTAGATTAACTCAATCACTTGTTTTTTGTGAAAAATATTTAATGAACACACCATGCTGATAGCTTAGTTTCAAAATAACATGCCAATATTAGAAAACAAATAAGTGAAGTGTAAACTGGGAAATATTAAAGTAAGCCAAATTTCATGGAATTTTTTATTCTAATTTAAAAAGATACTTATTATATCCGTTTATCCTATTGTTTTAGCATTTCCATTAATTTTATTACTATTGCCTTTGTAATTCACAGTACTACTGTTATTATTGACAGTAATTTGAAGGTGTTAATAACAACGGAAATTTCTTCTTTCCTAGAGAAAAAGATTGAACAAAACATTTAGTATCATGAAACATCAATTTCGAGAGACAAATATTTCTCCCCTATTCAATTTTATTACATATATATAATTGACTTCAGTTACACACGAATGGTTAACTGAAATTGTCCTGTAAATTTGGGAAAAGAAAAATGTTTATTATTAGTTAAACGGTGTTGACAGAAATCGGTTTGCTTATATTTTCCAAGCGAGCGTTTTCAGGAAATGTTAAAAAGCAAAGAGTGCTACAATAATTAATCATATTTATTTCTCGTTTCTATAGTTTACCGAGTTACTGGAACAATATAACTGGTAACAATGGAAAAAGACTTATGAATTCAGCGATGCATATACTGCATTTCAATGGGAAAGATAGAAAAACTAATTTATTTACAATATATTTTACTAGTGTTTCCTGACAAATTTTCTAGTCTTATAATTGTTACCCAGTTGGTGCTTAAGTGCTCTCAATAAAATCCCTGTTATTTACATATGATTACTTGAAACAAGTTTGATCTGCAGCAAATGATCACACTTTTAAACTCCTTATTCAATTTTTGGTAGACCAGAATACTGGGTCCTATGGCTAAAAGGAAGTTCCAAACATTCAGTTTTTTTACCAATAAAAATAATATATTTGTAATACCCCAATCGTATTGTCTGATGTTTAGTGGCTCAGTGTAAGCCATTTCAAATCAAATTAACCCTAGTCTAAATAGTGCAAAGGAACAAGGTAAAAAATAGGCCCGACTAAGTCAATGCCATTCCAATCAAGGTGATTTATTTGAGATATATTTGTGTGTTAATGGGTAAAACATGTAGAACTTGTAATGTGGAAAAGATAGAGTTGACTTAGTGTGTGTAACAAGTGTGAGATGTGAATAGAACCAGGCATGGTAGCTTGAATAGATGGTCCAAGTCAGTTTTTTTGACCAATTATTATTACGAAAATCCTCACCTTTCGGGAGCTCTTAAATGTAAATACTCCCCGATTTCAATTTATCGGATACTTTGCGGAATGACAATACAATACGAGATTCTTCAGAAATCACAAGGCCGATGCTCCTTCTAACAACCAGAGAAACAATTAATATAGGTACATAAAATGTTCTGACAATCTGAAAGAATCAGTCAAATAGCTACGGAAATGAGGAGATACTACTTGACGGTTCTTGGAATCCGTGAGACTTATTGGACCCAACCTCGACAGAAAATGATAGATTCGGGAGAGATGCTGCTGTACTCCAGGCACGAAGAAGAAAATGCCCCACACACTCGGCGAGTTGCTCTGATGCTGTCCAAAGAAGCACGTATTGGATGGGCATCTCACGGATCCAGAATCATCAAAGCATTTTTCAAAACAAAGGAGGGAATCACAATAAGTGTTATCCAGTGTTATGCAACCACCAATGACAGCAGCGACGACGACAAAGATCAGTTTCACAAGAGGTGCCGATCAATCGCAGCGAAGTGCCCAGGAAAGGACCTCACCATGTGATGGGAGACTTAAACGCCAAAGTCGGAATGGACAACACCGGGTATGAAAATATCCTGGGACGACAAAGATTGGGAGGAAGAAATAAAAATGGTGACAGACTTAAAAATTTATATGCATCCAACAAAATGGTTATAGAGGCACCACATTCTCATACAAACGCATACACAAGACTACATGGATCTCGCGGACCACACCACGGAGAACCAGATAGTTCATATTTGTATCAATAAAAAATTCAGAAACCCAGTGGAAGACATGAGAACCAGGGAAGGAGCTAACATTGCTTCAGATCACCACCTGGTGGTTGCCAAGATGAAACTGAAGCTAAAGAAGCGCTGGGCAACTGGACAAACAGCATTACAACCATTCAATACAGCCTTCCTTAGATATACTGAAAAACTCAACCAATTCAAGACAACTCCCAACAGCAGATCTCAAGCCTTACAAGATCTACTCAAAGAAGAGAAAATTACCATGAAGAACAACTGGAAAGAAATGAAAGAAGCACCAACTTCAATGTAACAGGAAGTGCTCGGCCCCAAGAAGCATCATCATAAGGAATGGATCTTTATGGAAACCCTGAACAAGATTTAAGAAAGGAAGAAAAAGAAAATAGCAACTAATAACAGTCGAACAAGAACAGAAAGTCGAGGCATAAGTTGAATACACAGAAAAGCATTAGAACTGACAAGCAGAAATACGTGGAAGACCTAGCAACGGCAGTGGCAAAAGCTGCAAGCGAAGGAAATATGAAACAACTATACAACACGACGAAGAAACTAGCAGGGAAATATAGTAAACCAGAGAAACCGTTCAAGGACAAAGACAATTCAAGAATAGAGGAACAGATGGGTAGAATACTTCGGGGAACTCTTGAATAGACCTGCTCCATTGAATCCACTGTATATCGAAGCAACGTATACAGACCTTCATATGGATGTCACTCCACGAACGATCGAAGAAGCCAGGATGTCCACCAGACAAATCAAGAGTGGGAATGCAGCAGGACCTGATGATATACCAGCGGAAGCACAGAAGTCAGACTTAGAAGCAACTACAAACATGCGCCACATTCTATTTAGAAGGATTTGGGAAGAGGAACATGTGCCGACAGACTGGAAAGAAGGATACCTCACCAAAATACCAAAGAGAGGAGATCCGAGCAAGTGTGAGAATTACAAAGGCATCACATTAATGTCAGTACCAGGAAACCCGATGAAAAACACCCGACTTCGAGATCAACAGACCGGATTCCGTAAGAATTGGTTGTGCACAGATCAAATCGTGACACTATGGATCTTCGGTGAACAATCAACTGGATGGAATTCGTCACTATATACCAACTTCCTCGACTATGAGGCGTTTGACAATGTGGATATGTAGACCATATGGAAATTTTCTTCGACAATATGGTATACTTGAGAAAATCGTCAACACCATCCGAATTTAAACGACGGACTACACTACAAAGTGGTGCATGGAGGACGACTGACAGACGCATTCCAAGTGGTTGACTGGATTATGACGACTCACACATCTGAGTGGAAGCACGGAATACAATGGACAGCTCGGAATCAAGCAGACGACTTGGACTTCACAGATGACCTAGCTCTTCTATCCCATACACATCAACAAATGCAGGCCAGGACAACCAGTGTAAGCGGAAGCCTCTGCACCAGTATGCCTCAACATACACAAGGGAAAAACCAAGATCCTCAAATACAACATGGAGAACACCAACCCAATCACACTTGGTGGAGAAATTCCGGAAACCGTCACATACCCGGGCAGCATCACCGATTAACAAGGAGAATTTGATGTAAATATAAAGGCACGGATTGACAAAGGGTCACATTCCTACAATTAAGGAACATCTCGGACTCAAAATAACTGTCAGCCAACATCAAAGTCAGAACGGTTTCATTGTACGGAACTGAAACGTGGAGAACCAATACAACCATCAACAAAAAGGCATAAATATTTATAAACAGTTTTCTATGCAAGATACTCCACATCCACTGGCCAATTACCATCAGCAACAACCTACTGTGGTAGAGAACAAACTAAATTCCGAGTAAAGAGGAAGTTAGAAAAAGACGTTGGAAGTGGGTAGGACATATATTGCTGAAGTTATCGAACTGCATCATGAGGCTAGACCTAACTTGGAATCCTGAAGGGAAATGGAAGGGAGGAAAGAAGAAGAACACAGAGTCGGGAATTGGAAGTACACATGAATAACAACTAGAAACAATGGGAAAAGATTGCCTAGGACAGGTTTCGTTGGAGAATGCTGATGGACGGTCTATGCTTCTCCACGAGGGGTAACAGGCGTAAGTAAGCCTTTTTACTGACAACCTGAACGAACTATAACGGCATTCGACAACTGTTAGATGGAATAAATGTTTTCTTATCAGTAACGAGTTTTGACTACTGTTCCGAAAACTTTATATGAATTCTGAGGGTTCATGGGTAAGAGATTTTAGATTTACAATAGTAGTTCGCCAAAAAAAGGTCGATAGAAGTCAGTAAATCGTAATAAACTCATGAGGAATTGGGCGCATTCGTTAACCTCATGGGAGCCTCCAAGTGCGAGGAATCTATATCTACGAACTCCGACGAATTGATATTTGATCATGAAGAAAGTTTAGAATGTAAGAAGAGGTAAATCAATCTCTTCAAACGTTCACTTTCAGAGTTCTTGAATAAACGTTAACAACAAACTTCTCGAATCAAATATGGCGAACGAATTTACTGTGTTTTACAGGAATACTGGCTAAATGTCTGAGGTATAGCACACCGGAACAACTAGTATTCTGATTATAACAAAGACTATCTTCTATAATCTTACATTGTTTAGGTTAAACTACATAGGGATAAATAACGCACAACAGCTTATACTTGCCGTAAATTGATTAAGATTAAAAAGCAACATTTACCTCAATTTTGATATTAATCAATGACAAAATATAATTAAAATTTACACATAGTAGAAAAAAAGGAAAGAAAGCTACATATATGATCCAAAGTTTAATAAATAGTAAACGAAAGAAAGAAATTATTTTATTACGATTTGTTAAGACAACAAAGCGAGAATTTGTCAGTCAGAACAAAATCGATGGTACGCTGAATAATTAACTTTGAAAGAGAACGAAGTAGATTTGATGTGCACAGGCGATATAGAGCACTGATGACCTGATTAAAAAGGATCAAATAATGAAAAACGAACACACAGAAACACGTACAGAGAGTAAAACATTAAGACGTAACAGAGACTAAATATACCGTGCAATATTATCAAGTAACAATAAAAAAAATACCTGGTTCCTAACAGTATGCAAACAAGGCACTTAAAGTTGAGGATTTTTGTTTGAAAATATCATCTGTTTATTCTTTTACAAGTATATATATATTTGAGTGATATATAAGAACAACAAAAACCAGGAATTACAAATTATGAGATAGATACTAGTCGACGTGGGGAAGATTCATCTGTATTTTAAAACATGATATGCTTCATCAATGTCCTTTCTGTATAACATAGTGAGAAGAAAGCAACTGAGGGATTAACACAGAACACCTAGTTTTTTAATCACTCACTGACTTAATCATCAAATGCAAATTTAATACGAGGTTACTGTACAGAGAAAGAAAAAGAGGATACAGAAAAAAATGTTCACCTACGATTACCACCATTAGTCACATGGTACCTAGGAGCGGGAATCCTTTTATCTTTATTCGGGGACTGTATCTATTTTAAATAATTTTCCTGACTATGGAGATACAAAAGGAATAAACGAGTATATGAAATAACAGTACTTCAAAGACATTCTTATTATTTGCTTAAAAATGGTTGTAGTTGGTGATGTACCACACAGTATATCGATATAAAACAATATTAATCTTGAAAGTGCTCCAAGTGAACTTATATATGTGTGGTTCCCATTACATGTGAAATTTTAACAAACGATATATAACTAGAGATAAATAGATAACAATAATAATAATAATAATAACAAACAATTAATTAAATCTTTCTTGTTAACAATAAGCAAACAATTAACAGAGTGAGGCCGAATACAAATAGACCACTTGAATTAGAATGTGGGGTATACTCGCGTAAAACAGCCACCTAAAATATATTGAATAATAAAAACGTAAGGTGAAATAACTTTTAAATCAGATAATTTTAAAAGAAAACGATTACTTGTTTCATGTACTACTTTTTGATAAACAGAGTATGAAACTATTATGAATGTGAATGGATAAAACAAGAATGAAATCACTATTTGTTGATATGTAAAAGATTTCTCCATAATGTAATAAACTGAGTACGACTTGTCAAAAATTAATACGTAAGAAATATGAGGTTGACGAGCTATAAAATAAATAATCCTCTTCAATTGTTCTGTTGGTTTTTGGCTAGTGAGTAAACTATTTTGGTAAATGAATCTTTTTATCAACGGTAGGTACACATTTACATACCTTCAGAGAAATTGGACATAATTGAGAATTTAAATGATAATTAACAATCTCACGACTGTATTTCTAATCTTTAAATAGACGAAACTTGAGTGGTAATCAGTAAAGTAAACCCGTCATAGATAAATGAATTGTTTCATTAATTGTTATGACATGCTGGTCAACATTTAGGCCTCAATTTATTAGGGAATGAGTGACCTATAAACTAATTTTCTCCAGTTGTCCATGACATTTTATAATGTTAATTTGATTTTAATATTTTGTATATAAGCATTACATAAAAATCATTTTTTCTAGGGTCTCTACCAAGAAAACTTTTACATAAAATTGAGTCTCTCACTAGCGAGGAAGATGCGGATAGAAAAGTTTCGTTTGTTGTACTGGCGTCGGTGTTGCAAACAAGTAGCTTAGACTACAACTAATTTTAGAAATTCTTAAAGGACAAATGTACATCAAAACGGTAAAATCTAAACACTACATTTAATATACGTTATTATAACAAAGCTAGTTATGTTTTCGTCTACATATCCAACGACTGGATGGAGTAGCAGAATTAAGAAAAATGTAGAGTGGTACATTATAGCAACATACGGTCAGATCAAAAATCCTCGAGAATTCAGCTCAGAAGGTTTTGTAGGGTTTAAGTCTAGTATTTTCACACTACTAGTAAAATATAAGTAGACTGATAGTTCTAAACAAAATTATGTGGGAGTCTGATTTCATAAGCGAGTCGTTGTTCAACAACCATCCAGTTTAATCCACTTTACAAAGCTGATACACTGCCTTTACTCAAGTATTTCTAAAGTCAGCCGGTGGATTAACATTTTCCTTGTTACTATAGGCCACCCATTGTATGAGCAAATGAAAATTGGAAACTAATTAATACATTAAAACCATTGTTACGTTTCATTGAAGTACGAAAAATTTCTATGTTGAGTTGAACATTCTCAGCAAGTAGAATATCATCTTTCGTGAATAATCCTGCTCAATCACGAACTTTTGGTAACAATATATATGCAAAACCCTGATTCCAAACCAATGGTGCACATGGGCTCCAGTACCCTGAGGGAACAAATGGCATATAAACCAATCGTGGGTCACCGGCTACCATAGGACTGCATCTCCTTACGTTGCTCCACTGCCTTGTGGCTCAGACCTTTAGGTCAAAGGCTCCGGGTGTGGCACCTTCAGAAAACCACCTGATTCGGTTTGGGTACCCGAGCAATATTCCAGCCCTCACACAAATCGAATAATTTATGTGGCGCATATGTATCTGGTGCCTCCTTGTACCAATGTTTATGTGTTTAAATAATAATAATAAATTTATAATTTGAATTTTGGAATACTTTATATTTAACTGTCAACGAACAACTCTAACTATATACACTGAATAAATGTACCTTGTTCTCCAACAGATATTAATCTCTGATCACTATGAAAAACTGGAATAATTAAAGATGAAAAAGAACAAGTATTATTTTAGGTTCGGTTATTGACTAATGCAAATAGTCCAGCCAATAAAAACTGGTAACTTACCCAACCACCATGACTCTCGACCCATTTGTATATACCATGAATAAAAACAAATTTAACAACAAATTTTATGACATCACCAGCAAGACCACCAAATCCTTTTGAAATTGCATTGACTACCACTTTGACAGCGAACATGAACAATACCACAATTCGTGACCAATTAATAATCCCATCCGAAAAAACTCTAAAATAAGTCAATAAAATGGCTCTTTAACTTTATTTCTCCACAGTGTAGGGTTGTAAAGATTGTTTAATTTCACTGAAATCACGAACCGACCGAAGTTCGTAATCTATGGACCAATAAACTGGGATCAAATCGTGTACAAAGTAAGGGTTCGGGCGCGGAACCGAAGGCTCTGGGTCCGATTCCCGTTTGCAGGGTCGTGGATGTGCCTTGTCGAGAATTCCAATACTAAGATGAAACAACAGTCTAATGCTTCCAGTTTTTCAATGGTTGCTTAATTTTGATCGGTTCGTGATTTCAATGAAATATATCTCTTTCTAAAAATGAGTTTAAAATAAATTATTTGATAGAAACAGAGATTACCGATGAACTTTAACTTGACAATATTGAAACGTTAAGCTAATGTAGAACATATCCAATATGGTTTGATGCATAAATTAGTCCAATGATAATAATGAATTTTATTTTACAACTATCAGAAAATAGATAAACATAAGGTAATCTAGTAGTAGTATAGTAGTTTTCTAAACTTTTATTTTCACTAGAAAGAATTCTTCACGCGAACAGTGCTCACTTCTTACCGCTTTCAAAGCCTTTTCTCTTATGGTTTGTTGCCTGTAAGTAAATTAATTTTTTCCGAGTTCTGAGGACTTTCTAAGTGGATCAGTTTGCAATCACTGGCCTTAATCAATATTCTTTAATCTGTCCCAAGAAGTCGAAGCAATACATGTCTTTTGATTCGAAATGAGCTAGGAAAAGAATAATAGGTTGTAGTATCTAGCGTACCAAAAACTGAAGGTAGGAGTTACCTTATGCACAAGTTGTATCACTAGCAGATAACGCGATATTAGTAACTGAACGGTGATCGATTGGAAATCATTTAGCTTAATCATGTACTAAAAATCTTTCTGAAAATAACCTGAGTGGCAGTAAATGGTTTGTGACTCTCAGTGGTTCAATCTAAAAATAACCACAATGAAAGTCGAATACATGATAATCAGTATTTTGAAAACATTAGGCGAAGGAGTTAGTAAAGATTAGTTAGTTGTTAAGCTTAAGAGAAAATATTTGTCTACATAATGCATGCGAAACGTTTGAGTTACGGACAAGAAAGGAAATAAGAACGGAATGAAATTTCTTTATTATAACTCCAAAATAAACCCAATGGATATAATTTAAAAATATGTTCACAGAAAGAAGGTCGGTGAAAGTGAACCGGGCAATCTAAAAAAAATAATTCGACTGTAGTGTAATCATGGGACTTCAGAATAGCCAATGAGCGAAAAAGTTTAAACTTCATAGGTGTAATATGAGTTTGCCAAGCATTACAGATATGTATTTTGCAGGTCAAAAGATCCTTCATAATCGTTATCTTTGTGTACATTACAAAAAATAATACGGAAATAATATACATAACGACATCTGGATACATGAAGTTAATTGGATATTTAATCGTTTGGATTTCACGTTATGTGAATATAATTCTATTATTAAAGTCTAACTATGAATAATTGTCGATACAAATAGAGCCAAATTTGTGTAAAAGGTTATTATGTGAATGGGAAATGTATCGTGGTAACTTATTTGTCTTATCCTTAGTTCAATTCAAAAGATGAGCAAGCCAGGAGATAATTAATCTTCCTTAAACTACAGAAACAAAAAAAAACATGTGAAGAAATCTTAATAGGTGATATTCGAAATAAATCCTCAAAACTGAATGATAAATATCAGTGAGTATTAGTCGACTTAAGGCTTGCTACAAATATTTATAGGTCTAAGCTGTTATATGCCACGTGAGGATATCGTGAGAGGAAGTAAGCAAGATGAAAATCAAAATTACAGAATGATTTGAAACTCAAGATTCGGAGGAAGACAGAATCAATGTGATTCTGTCATCGCGAACTATTTTGAGCCATGCTAACTAACTATCAATCATGATTAAACTATGGATCCCTACCAACATGAATCAGACAAACAACCAACGACTTTGTGAATTGATATCATACCTTGATCTGACCATCCCTGACTTTTTCGACCCAACAGCATGCTAGACAGTATCGCGCTTAGAGGTTGACGGCAGCTAAACACAGGTGACACATATTTTAATCACCTCAGATGACGAAAGTCTATGCCCTCACCAATCGACTTACCTCAGCATTACTCACTTAATGGTTCAACTATAAGCAAGTAGTTATTTAAGGAAACATAATGTCAAATAGTTTCAGCCTATGCATTTCCTACTTGTATAGATTACGTTTAGCAACCATGATATGATACAGCTGTACTACAAATGGAGTAGATTTTGCAAAAACTGAGAGCTTTTCAGTATCTATGCTGAGAATTCACTGCCCCCAAATGCCCTGGTACGGCCGAAAGTGGAAAGAGTCCGCTCTCCCTCTCGAAATGCTCTCACATGGTCACGCGTATATAGCCTCTTCCAGGGAAGTCCTATTCACTGCCTTCTCGTGGCGGGGGTGTTGTGTACGGAATTGAAAAGATGAAAAGCGAATGTCCGGTGTTTTACCCGGGCCGATGGACACGGAGAGTCCATCTAGGGGAGCTGCAAAACCCTGATTTTAAACCAATGGTGCGCATGGGCTCCAGTACCCTGAGGGAACAAATGGCATATAAACCAATCGTTGGTCACCGGCTACCATAGGACTGCATCTCTTTACGCTGCTCCACTGCCTTGTGGCTCAGACCTTTAAGTCGAAGGCTCCGGGTGTGGCCCCCTCAGAAAACCACCTGATTCGGTTTGTGCACCCAGGCAGTATTTCAGCCCCCACACAAATCAAATGAGATTTGTGTGGCGCATATGTATCTGGTGCCTCCTTGTACCAGTATTTATGTGTCAAATAAATAAATGAGACTTCTAAGATAAGTGAAGTGGTTTAGATGGTTGACTAATACCCCCTATGGCAAGACAAAGCACTGACATAGATTAGTTATGAGGAAATGTTTAGCATTTGGTGAAAGAAAAACGCATTTCAGGCATCTCTGTAGTGTTTAGAAAATTAAACTTTTAAAGAAGTCTGCTAAACAGAACTGTTAGTTGGGTATCCAAAATAAACAAATAAGTGGTTAATTAAAAGAAAAATTAGACAAAGAAACGTTTTTAAAAAAAACTAAAAAGGAAAAGTTAGGAATCTCTGGAGAAAGCCTCTTAATGTAGCTGAATCATATGATGGTTTATCATAAACTCTAACTTGATTGATAATGTTCGAGTAAAGGGCACTCAAGTGGTGGGTGTACTTATTTGGTATGCCTCTTAAAGGACAAACTATTATGAGGTCTGCCAACCAAAAAAGTCAAATTAAATCTCCACGTCAGAAAAATACAACAAGAGTCAGGGAACAGTAAGTGTGATGACTATCAATGTTTATACTTTAGACACTATATTAGCCAAACTTTATTATGGGAAAATTTCTGTTCAGACTTCTAAACTAGGATGATTAGTAACTGTGATCAGTTTGAAGGAATTACGTTTAGCCTCCAAAACCATAGTTTTCTTAGTTAACCTGACTGTTAAAACAAAACCAGCTTTGAGATATACGAAGTTGATCGACTAACATCAGATACTCTTCGCTTAGCTAGTTGTGCTTTTTAAACTTCATTGACATGAAAACATGACAACGGTCTCCCATTCAAGCTGCTGGTGAGTGATGGGAGACTGGAAAGCAAATGACAGCCAGTTAGACTTCGGCGCTTAACCTATCGTTGTAGTTGTTTGGTGTAAGAGTAGACCACGGTTCCACCATTTCCAAAGACAGTTTCAAGAACAGTAAACTTTGTAACGACAATTTTTTTAGTGAGTTCAAACAACTGCCTTTTCTATCACTGTTTTTCGTTATATTCAAACCATGATTACCATATAAGTTAAAAACTTAGTGACGTTATTTTACAGCAATAACTGAGATAAGATAAGAATTTAAAAACAATTTAGTTGGTTGGGATCAACTGAGAGTCACAATTTCATAAAACCATAGATTCTTGGATTTTTGTTTTTCAAATCGAATACGATCTTAAGAAAAAAGATTACATTTTAAACTAGAAGCAGTAGTTAGTTATAAAGCTAAGTGATGTTAATTTCTCACATGAACTTTTTAGAGTTTGCATCTTTATATTAGTAGAGGAATATCGCCATAAAAATTTGCTCACGGTAGCATGTGAAACATAGTTTAAATCTGAAATATAGACAGAAAATTACTATCCACAAAACATTATCTCATACATTCCACCATATTGACTCTGGAAGTTTTAATACCACAAAAGATCGAAAACGTTAAGATTTCAGTTCACTGAACTGTGGCGAACAAGCTGACAACATGCTCTACTACCTCTCACAAGAATCAATCGATAGCACCACAGACGTTTAGGGATTCATGGAGATTTTGATTCTTACTTTATACTTTTTCTGATTAATTGTAATACACACTTATCAAATAAATAAACCGGACAATTTGTTATAAAGTTAATTAGAATCAGGTCAAACAAACTAGTAGAAAGAATAACAAATGTAAAATGAAGATCTAGACCTAGAAATTAGGACGTTTTTGCTACTAACAAGAGACTGATAACGAAATAATCAAGTGTTTTCGCAACTTTCCACAGATAATCTCCATTTCATATTGTACGGGATCATGAAACAATCCAAAAACAGGACACAAAACACAGTATCTCCTAAGAGATGCTTCTACTAGATAAAGTAATATTCATAATAAATATTTACAATAAAAATAGCAAGAAGGTGGAAAAAATTTACCCTTTTGCAATCTGTAGAAACTTTTCATAGGTGGCTGACTTGATCCACATTTCAGCATCTTGATTCAATCGTTCGCCATATTGAGCTTCTAACTCATTTGATATTTCTATAAGACGACCAATTAAAGCTTGTGTCCTAAAATTTATTTTACGACGTTTATATTGGTCTTACTCCATATCGGTTGAAGTTCGCCGGCGTTGAACAATCCCTGCACTTTGTTTTAGCTTTAATCTGACAAATTCTTCAACTATTGTTTCCGTTTCCATCGTCTTCAAATCATCCTCATCAGCTTGGTGGGTATTCATGGGATCGTCACATTGACCGGAAACGGAACAGTCACCAGACATGGTCTATGAAGAATGGATTTAGCGAACAAATGTATGGCAATCATGATAAAAATACTGAAGCATCAGGAATACATATAATAGGGATCTACAATTCACATTATGCTGTTCGTAAAAAGGCTACTAAAGATTATGAAAACCCTTGAAGGTCGGTAGAATCAATCTTCACTGTTGTTTATTTCTTCCAAATATTTGTTTTGATAACAGACCACTAGCAAGTCGCTTTCAGAGACGATTTGATTCAGCAAAGATTCTTTAAATTGCACCACCAAACTTGCGTACATTTTAATTATTGCTGATAACAACACTTTACGAATCCCGTAACTATATGACCATTTTACAAAAATAACTTGACCTTTAATGTCAACCTTTGCCGCTAAGTTCGTAGATTCACAACAGTAGTTGATGTCTGTGGGTTTCTACGCAGCCACTAGGTCCTACTAACATTAAATAAGTATTGGTGGTAAAATATTGCACGGATATGAGCATGTTTATGTGAAGGGAAAATCAGGGTTCTGATATTTTTATGAAATCTTAGTCTCAGTCAGTCCATTAGGGCCACATAGGTTGCCAAAAAGTTTAAAACCAAAAGAGAACTTTGTTGGTTCAGTTCGGGGTAGTAATGTAATGACGAACAGAATTTAGTTTCAGAGTGATATCAGGCCTTCCGAATCACTTGCAACAACAGCTGGAGTACTCCATGCTGCTTAAGAGTATTTCCGTCACCACTTTGTATACGGAATATCATTAAGGTTTTCGGGAAAGCCTTAAAAGTGGTTTCACGACATGAAAATGCAAGGATGTTGTACTGGAAGCACTATCAAAAGATCCCGAAGTGTGTGAATACCTTATATAGCCCTTAAAAACTTTGTGGATGTTTATTATCTTACAAGACTTACGAAGTTCGTTAAAGATATTGCATTAAGACAACTAATCCATGTTTACGAAAGCTAATGAAACCAAACGAGTTCCAGCAGTAAGTGTGAAACAATCGAACCTATTACCAACTCATACTTTCCATAATTTGCAAAACACTCATGTTTTGAACGGGAGACAATATGCTTCCATGAAAAAGGATATTCATCAAGAATGGCCATAGCTCTAGAATAAACGAAAACTTTTCATAACACTCGAAAAGATAGCCATATGTTTGAAACTAACTTTTTAAGGTGGCTAGAAAACGTTTAAACTTTAAAGGACAACAAAACGTATTTATTAAGAATCTGTATGACAAACTATTCAGGTAGCGCACACTTTTGGAAACCTACCTTAAACCTTGACCTTTTACGGTAAGCCGATTCAGTAGGCTTGGAATTTCATGACATTAGCTTTAGTTATATGTACTTATAGAACTTCCGTGTGTAACCATGACCTGGCAGTCATCTCGAGATGTTCAACTCTTGGTTAGAGAGTCTAACCAAGTTCTTATGGCTGCAGACGATATTCCTTAAATGTCAAATAATCATCTTGGAATCAACTAAGCTCGCACAACAGGTCATCAAAGCACCCATCAGTATCTCAGAAGACTCATCAAACTAGGTAATCGAAGTCTTACAACTGTGGGCAAACAACACCTAGCAATCTGTTTAACGAAGCACACACAGATACAGGTTTTACAATCGAACATGAAGGAGGCGAATTCCATTTATTAGATATTGAAATCATATGAACGTCAAACGGCACACTACATAGACCCATCTGCCACAGAAATACGTGGAGTAGAATCTGTTTAAATTAAACATCTCCAGTCCTATAGGTTATAAAAAGGGGATTGCATAAACTTTTTTGACTGCGCTTATAAACTTTGTTCAAAGGAAAGCTTGGAAGAACTTGCCTTCATTATGAATCTTCTACGTGAGAATTCTTGTCCATCGAAATTCATCGGGAGGTATGTTGTAACTTACTTTTATCACGAGAACACGATTGGTTTAGTGAAAACAATTATTGTTATAACCAATTGTACCAGTGACTGTTTTAATGTGCTCTTTGTTTAACTGCGCTAAAAACATCCATTATACTTACTCCGATTGTGACCTCGCGCGAATCTAGTTACGCTCAGTAACGAAACTTGTATCCTGGCACAATCTTGGTATTCTTTCGATACCACGAGATCGCCAGCAAATATATCTCGACTTGGTCCATTAAATGCCTTCTGATATTTGGCTTCCGGGGGATTTTATGGATATCCTGGCACGCGTTCCTTTGTAGTGGTGCTTATAGTCAACTGGGACTCGACACCACGCTACAGGTATATCAGAATCAAAGTACATCTTAAATGTGATACAGTGGAAAATAAAACTTGTTTCTTATATTTGCATTTTATAGATGAAATCACTTGAATAATTAATAGCACGATTAATGTCACGATGAAAGTTGATTATCCACCAAAAAGACTGACGACGTTACGTGAAACGAAATGCTCATTCAAGCAAGCAGGAGTTGATGGGTCCTCTTTTATCAGTACTCCTATCTACATCTACTAATTTACATGTACGTGCCAAGGTACATAAATTAGACGAACAAGGATAAGTGTATATGTTCGCATTTCCGAGTACTTTTCAAAAAAAATTGAGACTGTGGGGCCCAGTGGCTCTAAACAGTGCACTAGCTTGGTATCTAATTGATACCGAACAAACCATGGGCATTCTACAATCCTTCAAAATCATTAGTAGACGGAAAAATCAGTGTCTCTTTGGTTTGCCAAAGCAGTTGTAGTAAAAAGCCCAAATGTGATCTATGTATCCAGAAAGAGACTGTAATCAATTTATCGTTACCTTGGTAAATTGTTAAGGTTGTTTTATTAGTGTTTATTTGCCATGTGGTCATCGCCAAACTAATTCCTGTTTTGTGCACACCAAAATCATTCTTTCATTCACCAGCTTTTATTCCCCTAATTCTTTAAACGTATGTTAGCTCTTGAAATCCTGTTCAGTTATTGCGTAACCCATACTGTCGATTTTTAATTCTAGTAGTCTTACGTAGGTCTTTTGCAACCTCCATAATTACCACACAGTCTATCTTACGCATTTTCGGACATCATTTAATTTCTGTCTGACCTCCCTCCATGTTTCCTGAACTGTATCTCAAATGACTTCACATCTGTTCCTATAAAAATATATATCTAAGTATACAGATAGGCATTATTAATAATCTTTTTTATTTTAGTTCTTTCTGTCATTAATTTTAGTTCTTTCACGTTATATTTTGCCTCAGTGTTACATTTCAACTGATAAGAAACCGCGAAATGTGACGAATTGCTATTATTCCCCTTCAATCATTGTTTCGGCTTTAGTCAAATTCATAAAGGGAACCAATTGCATTGAACATGTAGAGCGTAAGGATCCTGTTTTTTTGGCAGAAATCTTTCAACATTCGATAGAGAATGATGGAAAATAGGATACTGACAAAATAGGGAAATCGAAAAATAATTTAGTGTTCTAATCCTAGTAGGATATTTTCATCTAATTCCAAATCCAATCAGGTGAACTGTTACAAGTCGATCAGATTGATCAAGAGTAGCAAAGCACCAGATTCAAACAAACTACAAGTTAAAGCTCTAAAGTTAAATATGGAGTCGATTAGATTATTATATCTTATATTTTTTCTGAACGGTCTATGATGTCAAGGTAATAATAAAAGAGAGCTCACAAACAAGGAAAGAAATTTTGGGACACTGTTTTGCTAATTTCGAAATCTACAAACTACTAGTATTTGGTTTTGTACTAGCCTTACCTTACAGTTTATAAATTTTCTAATAATTTATAAAGAGCTGTCCTATTTCCTATAATTTTAACACTAGTGGAATTTAAATCTTATTTCTGAACTACTGTCTTAGACTGCAATGTATTATTTTGGATATAACTGCATTTTCCTCACTCATTGTAAGTTGTGGTCCTGCTAGTCATATATTTGTTCACCTACCCCTTTTTAGTTAACTAAATGAGGAATAAGCCGGACATAGAGCTCCATATAAATCGTCTTCCACCTGTGCTTGCCAACAATTTAGACAGTAATAATCTAGTGCAAGGGGGACTGAGTTCCAATCGAGTGGGTTAATTGGATCTCATTAAGACAGTGAGAAAAGAGGACTTTGCAGACTCTGTGACTACATTTGATATTGACGAGCATCTATATGCCACTAGGTTAACGGCCTTTAAACGACTTAGTTGGCCCGCTGTCATGTGAGAAGATAGTCTACATAACCTTACTGTATAGTTACATTACTGTCTATTGTAATCCACACTATATGGGCAGTTAAAATTACCTTTTTGCAGAAGCCTTTGGAAAACAAAAACACGCTTATTAGCAGAGCGGCAAATTCAACACATGGACGTAGGTACGTAGAATGATTCAACTTGAGTTTCCGAACCACGAGTGTTTGGTGATGTTTCCGTGCCAAACTTCATTACCTTCAACACCTTTTGTCTACCGTTCAGAGTGCAAAAATAATACTGTCAAGGCGAGACACATTCAGCTTAAATTATCATACAATAAGGAATGAGTGCTATCCCACTGCCACTACATCACTCTTCCGCTGATTTGATACTGAAGATGGCACAGGTATTCAGTGTTTGACAACCCTTTTACCAGTAACACACTCTAATATAATTCGGACCCACCAAGAGAAATCAAAAGACAGGGTCGAGGAGATCGGAAGAGTGTATTAGGCGATAACCAATATATCGGAATTCTCTGATCTAATCTGGCTAGCGATTGCTGTAGATGTTGAGCGGGTTGTCATGGGACTAACAAAAAAACGACTGTGGTACAATGGAAGAAATTTGTAGTTACATGAATTCAAAGCATACAACAAACCAACTAACACTCTTCGAAAAAATCCTCCTGATAGTCTTGTAAAATCTGAACAACTCTAAATGATGCCAGCGACAGAGGTGCATGGTAACTTCAGTGACCATCAGATAAACATAATAGTGTCAAAATAAATCGAATGGGCTTTTCTATCTATAATGATAGGTAAGTACCCGAAAGTTCTCATACAATGTGACGTCCTGCTCGTTTCACGAGAAAAGAAGCCTTATCATCCAACCAACTTAGACATTTTGTTTAGGCTGCCATAGTTAATTTTATTTCCATCTCACAACACCAATACACGTAGGAATTTAACCCTAATTTTTATACCAAAAAATGTTATATTTTCCACACTTACCAACATATTAACTAGTACACTAAAATGTTTTGCTAAAACGCCATTGATTGTATTGTTATAACGAAGTTTCTGATTTGGTCTTTTTAAAAGGGTACTTGATAACTATTTTCGTAACCATCAGATAAACAGCAAAAATCTGAAGTTTTAGGTTTTAACTAGTCAAATTATAGTCTTAGTTTCTAAATTATCACTGTAGTTCTCAACAATAATTACAATGACAATTTTTGTGGTATGCCTTCGATTTTTCGAATGTGTCAAATATTTTTGCTTTGTTTTCTTGTACTTGAGCTTCTGTTCTCTGAAGAGGTCTCTTATACACAGTCACGAAACATCAGAAAATTATTTTTCATTCAACAGGTATACTACGAATACATCATAACTTTTATTCTTACCCGTTGACCCAGTGCTCAAGTTATTTGAAGTCACCAGGTCGAACCCCATTAGTGACGTTATGGTTAATAATTAATACATTTACTGTACAATAAAGTATTTACTACTGTGTGTGAATCCGCTACGACAACTTAGTACAATTTCACACTGTGCACTTCAAATTTTTATGGTTCGGACCTTGTGTCAGATAGCAAAACAGGCTTCTTTAGCTAAGAATCTGGAATCCTGCACCAGTGATGTATGTTGCGTTTCCAGAGCGCACACACAGGACTCAAGTGCGATCATTTATTTGGCCTCACCCCATCAGTATAAAGAACAGGCACGGTTTACTCTTTGAGTATCTGAATACCTCATTGCTACTACCCTTAGCCCGTCTGGCATGAACATCAGACTAAGTTTAAAAGCAGAACAGGTTATGTTATACTACACTACAATAGACAGTCACTCGTGAGCTGTTTACTAAACAGGACAGTAGGAACTGGAAAAGTTATGGTCACAAAGCGTTGCATTTTCGTTATCTTTGCCTATTCACCCATTGGTTGCTGCTCGGACGAAGTCAAATACAAATTTATGGGGAGTTATCCGACCTCCCTCAAAAAACTAAACAATCTGCTTTAGTAATAGTGGCAGGTAATTTTAACGTTAAGTAGGTAAACTATGCCAAATCAAAAAACACTTAGGCAAATTTTACAGTG